TGATACTTGTCGCTGTCTATTGGAATAAAAGAATCTTTAATTATATTCAAAACAGAATCAATTGTCATTTTTGCAAGCTCTTTGTATTGAACAGAAACACTTCTTCCATTCAAAACATTACTAATTGTAGGGCTCAGTTTTTTTCTTCCTTCAAGCAATTCATTGGTTGTTGATAGATAGATGTAATGTAAGGGAATACATTAAATTAATGTAAGGGAATGCATTAGAGCATGTAATGTAAGGGAATGCATTAGAGCAATCAATTCAACTATGCTAAAGATATCTGTTGTTTTCATATGGTTGATAAAAATAGCATTTATATCTTTAGTATATCTGTTGTTTCCATATAGTTTGATATTTTCTAGTAACTCTCAACTTAATAGTGATTGCTTGCAGCCTTGCTGGGAGTGAATCAAAATAGAAAATATATATATACATATACACTTTCTATATATATGTATATATATATATATATATATATATATATATATATATATATATATATATATATATATATATATATATATATATATATATATATATATATATATATATATATGTAGTGGCTGAAAGCAACCGCTATTAAGTTTGGAGTTACTTGAAAAAAAAGAATAGAGAAAACGGTTTGACAGAAGGCTTATACTTATGCACATTTCCGAAAAATCACGCACAGAAACTCATATATGTTTTGTCTATTATTTTCATAGTAATAAAACTGGCAATCTCCAATTTGCTCTTATTTAATTCTAACCTATATAAATATTTTGTAAACAAAAAATGGTATACATTAGTAATGTTAACGAAAAATAAATTAAATTTGAAGCAGAATCAGGTACAGAACAGAATAAGTTACAGGATTGCACTATGTATAATAGAGTCGCAGCAACACACGGAAGTCATGGATGGAAATTGCAAATTCGTTAAATTTCATTTAGATATTTTTAAGAAAATAAATTTCTTGTATTTTAAGAGAAATATTATACTTCTATGACTCATATTTCATATATTTTTGATGAGAAATGGCAGATGTCAATTATTTCTAGCTAAATGAAATCATTTTGAAAATTTGTTGTTTATTTTCAAACTGTAGCGATATTATTACCCCAAAAAATAAAATGATCAAGAATTATATATTTAACTTATTCAGGTAGCCTAAAATATAATAGAAATATTTTTGCTATAAATATTTTTTAAGAAAATTTTAATTGTATGCATATTGCTTTAAGTCCCAGCTTTTAATTGTTTCCGTTTCTGTTACACACAGAAACCGAAATGCCCTTATAATAGACACAATACACTTATATATTTAATAATATACGCACTTTTACAAGCGCAATCTACAGGCATTATTCATTTCTTTTAAACCCATTTAATTTCTTAGCTTTGCATAATTGTCAAATGTCTCAAACATTAATGTAGAGTTTCTATTTTAGATATATAGTTAATAAGATATAAAATTAATTATAAAGTAAGTTTGAAAATAAAAATTATATTATTTTAAATACATTATGGATTGTAGCAATTGAAGTTGAGCAGGCCAAGTCCTCCTCAGATTTTTCTAGAGTATTTTTTTTGTTGTTGTTGATTTAATAGCTTTTTTTTCAAGTAGTTCAAGCTGTTTTAGTTTCACTTTGCCCCCTCCTCCCCTCCTCCTTCTCCCTTTCTTCCTTTCATTTCAAAATAATCTAAGTACAAATTTGTTTTATTTTTCTCTAAATGCGTAAAAATAGTTGGTAAAATAGTTAAATATAAACTTGTATTTTAATGTTTAAACAATTTAATGCTCAAACTAATTAATTTTGTCCTAATTGATCATAGAAAAACAAACAAAATACACCAAGAACTGAAAAATTTTATTGCATTATTATGTTGGATAAAAAGTCATCAAAAATATGTTATTGCATTATTATGTTAGATAAAAAGTCATCAAAAATATGTTATTGCATTATTATGTTAGTTAAAAAGTCATCAAAAATATGTTATTGCATTATTATGTGTGTTAAAAAGTCATCAAAAATATGTTATTGCATTATTATGTTAGTTAAAAAGTCATCAAAATTTGTTATTGAAGAAAGTCATCTTCTTAAGAACTTATTTAAATTAGGATGCAAAAATTTTGCTTCTTATAGAATTATTGAATAGAAGAAAACTTTTTTGAGTCAATTGCTTCTCTTTATCGTGCTCGCCATTTCCTTACTTCTGATTCCATTCTCTACCTCTACAAATCTCTTATTCGTCCCTGTATGGAATACTGTTGTCATATTTGGGCTGGTTCTTCTAACGATTCACTTTCTCTTCTTGACAAGGTCCAAAAACGCATTGTAAATGTTGTTGGACCTGGACTATCTGCTAAGCTTGAGCCTCTTTCCCATCGTCGTAAAGTTGCATCTCTTTCTCTTTTCTGCAAATACTATCATGGTCACTGCTCAAGGGAGTTATCATCTCTAGTTCCATCAACTAAAATTCATTCTCGTTTTACTCGTCATTCAGCTAAGTCTCATTCGTTTACTGTATCTTTCCCTGCATGCTCTAAAAACTTTTATTTATCTAGTTTTTTTCCCCACACTTCAATCCTTTGGAACTCTCTCCCATCTTCATGTTTTCCTGACTCATACAACATTTAACTTTTCAAGTCTTCTGTCAACCGTTTCCTTGCTCTATAACTCTGTTCTTTTTTTTTCCTAGTAACTCCCAACTTAATAGTGGTTGCTTGCAGCCTTGTTGGGAGTGAATGCAAGTAAAAAAAAAAAAAAAAATTAGTCAAATAATATTTATAGTAACTAGTGATGTACCGGTATCTTCATCGGCTCAATCAGCTATTTTTTGCACAATCGGTATCGGCATCAGCCTTTTTTACCGATTTTCCAACCGATGGCATTTTCATATTTTTATCCTACATTATTATAATAATTAAATAATAAATAAACTAAACTTTGTACATTACTAAGAATTTTTTTTATAATTTTTTTTTTGACTTTGTTTACAGGCAAAAGTAACCTATTTAAGCATTGTTATCTATATATTTTTAATTCTTTTTTACACCCAATAAGGCTTCAAGCAACCACTATCAAGTTGGGAGTTGCTAGATAAAAAGAGTAGAGTTATAGAGCAATGAATTGGTTGACAGAAGAATTAAAAAGTTGAAGGTTGTAAGAGTCAGGAAAACATAAAAATGGGACAGAGTTCCGAAGGGTTAAAACGCGTGGAAATAAGCTAGACAAATAAAAGTTTTTGGAACATGAAGAGACAGATACAGTCGAAGAATGAGACTTTGATGAATGAAAAGTCAAGCGAGAATGAGTTTTGGTTGATGGAACTAGGGATGAAAGCTCCTTTGAGCAGCAACCATGATAGTATTTATAAAAAGGAGAAAGAGATGCATTTTTACGGCGATGAGAAAAAGGTTCAAGCTTAGCAGATAGACCAGGTCCAACAATGTTTACAATGCGTTTTTGGACCTTTTCTTGAAGAGAAAGAGTATCATTAGAAGAACCAGCTCAAATATGATAACAGTATTCCATACAGGGAAGAATAAGAGATTTGTACAGGTAGAGAATGGAATCAGGAGACAGAAAATGGTGAGTACAATAAAAAGAAACCTTAGCTAATTTAGCAATCAATTGTATATATGGTTTTCATGAAAAGTTAGTTGTAAACGATAATCCAAGAAGGTGTAAACACGTAGAATCAGTGAGAGGGTTGCCATTCATCAATAAAGGAATGTCTACAGTACTGCAATAGTTATTTATTTGACTCAAGATGGAATGTGAGAAATTTGTTTATCAAAGACTCAAAGACCTTGCTAATAACAGAAAAAAAAACTAGCTGGACAATAATTGGAGGGGTCAGTATGTTTACCAGAGTTTTTAAAAAATTAGAATAACAGATGCCATTTTCCAGCAGGTAGGAAAACAAGATTCAGTCAAGCACTTATTAAATAGTTTAGAGAAAATTGAAGAGAATTCTGGAAAACAATTTGGAACACTGTGACAGGAATGTTGTCTGGACCACAAGCCATAGAAGAGTTTAATCGAGATATGACTATGAGTAATAGAAGCTGAAATGATTTGAATGTCTAACAATGGGTTAAATTGTTTAATTAGAATGGAAGGAAGAGAATGGCCATTAGATTCAAGAATCGGATTAGAAGAGAATTTCTTTGCAAATAGTTCTGCCTTACTTCATGTATTTAAGTATAGCCAAGTACCAAGTATATTTCTATATTTATAATATTTTTATTTCAATTCACCTCCCTAAGACCACAAAGGCCACTTCAATTCAGGAGGCTACTTTAGTTATGGTTACAATCCACTTTCAACTTTATAACTCAGAGACACAGAACTTTGATGAACAATGCTGCTGCGTGTAGAAACAAGTTAAGCGCTGTACTACCAGGGATGTGGTGGGGATTGAACATCACAAATTAAAATAATTCTAAAAACAAATTATTTATCTAAAAAAAATTTATATGTCTGAACAACATATGATTGTTGTTTAGATATCTAAATTACTAGTAAATTAATAAGGAATTTTAAGTAAACTGCATATGCATATTTTCTTTTTTTTAAATTAAAATAAAAAGTGTTCCTCTAAAATTGTATTTATTTTCTTGAAAGTTTTCTTTTCATAGTAGAAAAAAATAAAAAAGTATATTTTTTTAACTGAGTTTTTCTAATATCTTTTAAAATAATTGTTTGGCTTTGATTTTGGTTCAAGTATTTGTTTACCAGTACTAATTTAAAATTGTATGATTTTATATTTTTAAATTTTTTAATAATTAGTAAATTCATTGGTATCGGCAGCAGCATCGGCCTTTTCCCATCCATCGGTATCGGTATCAACATCAGCCAAAAAAGTGTTATTGGTACATCACTATTAGTAACCCTTTGCTAGCCTTTGCCATCAGGCAACTGCAACTGTACACCACTGATATATTTATATTTATTTATAATAAATTGTTTTCTGATAAGTATTAAAAATATTTATTTGATTTTTCTCAGGTTGATACGCCTTTATTGATTCAAGATGAAAAGAAAGAATTTATATCAACTTGGTCTGGAAAATATTTTGATGATGATGGTGATCCTGTAATTGAAATGGATGGTTATCTATTAGCATTAATGGGTTGGAATGAAAATGATAAGGTTTTTTTTTTATGAGTTTTTTTTTCTCCATATATTAGAGTAAGTATAGAGCCTATTTCTGGCTGTCAACATGTTGATTGGGTTTTCCAGCAGCTGCATTAACACTGCTGTTTCTCCTAAGTAAATTGTATTTATTTAAATCTTTCCATAGTTTTTGTTAAAAGTGTCAGTTGGTTGTCAATAATTTCACGATAGCCAAATATTGGCTCTTACATTTTAAATATTTTCATAGTATTTTTAAAGCAATTCTTTGAAGTTTTTAATCTTCTTGCTATTTCTCTATTACTGATCAAGGAGCCATCTTTTAAAATTAGTATTTCCTACTTTGTTGCTTTGCTTATTGCTTTTCAAGCTGTTTCAAAAGCATTTTAAAAATATTTTAAAATGCTTTAAATTCGGGTATACTGGTTGTCAAAAGCTATTTTATGTAGCTAATCAAGATGGGCAATTTCTTGTTAAATTTTTGGGTTTTTACATGGACTACCTCAAGCTTTTATGAAACTTCTGGGGTTGGCTTATATTAATAAAAAAGTAAATTCTGAAAATTTTGGCGTAAAACTATTTGTAGTTCATAAGATTCAATCGTTTAAAAGTTCTTATTTTTTCAAAAAATTGAAACTAAAAAAACATGTTTTGTTCATACTTTTAAGTTCAAAGATTTTAAAAAAAGTTTTTAGAAAACCTTTTTGTTTTTTGTCAAAGACTTTCTGATGTAACACATTAAATTTGATCCAGGTAATCTGCGGTGCTTGAACTAGACTGAGCAATGAAAGCCACAGAGAAATATGAAACATTTCTATTAAAAAACTTTTTATATAAAGGAGGATAAGTAATAAAAAATAAAGAAAAATAAGCAGATGTTCAGAATAAACACAGATTTATTTTAAGAAGGAAAAACTTATACACAAATCATAATCAACTTTGTTGTTAGAGTATACCTAAAACAAAATAGGACACATAAGTAACCATAAATCTTCATTAAATACAAAAGTTTAACTTACTTTAAAACAAATATACATATGGAAAGATATATCAATATTTAAAATTAATAAATATAAAATGAGAGGAGGTAAATGATAATGAAAAAACATTATTGCTTTTGTGTAATCATATTTTATGTAGTGGTGGTAATAACCATAATAATCTCCTCAGAATCGCGTTTATTATTACCGGTGTTTCAAAGAAGATCGGCACCAAAACCTAGTTTATCCCATCAGATAAACATAATTGTCATTCATGCTTTACCCCGCTATTTACACCTGCTCCATATGCAGTAAAAAATGACTTCACTACAAACAGCCAAAACCCTAACTACACCCAAATTTGTAAAGCACTTATATACTTAATAATATAGAAAGTAAGAAATGTGAATTCAATATCAAATAACATAACAAAATGAAAAATAATTATATCAAAATATTAAATATTATGACACCAAAATATAGAATAAGAAATTACACAAAAATAAAAAATAAAATAAACACATACCATATCACTGTTCGAAAAATTTGTCAAAATAAATAATTAGAAAATAAAAAACACTTAAGTTCTGATAGAAAAGTTCTGATAGAAAAAACTATTATAAACTCTAATGTAAAAAAGGTTATAAATAAGATTTTAAAAAAACCACAGCTAGTTGCTGGTAGTTTTTGGAGAAATACACTCTAGCCGATAAGATAGAAAAACTTATGTAAAATTGGAAAAACAACAAACTCAAATACAAAATTTATGAACACATCATGCTGTCATAGATATATAGATTGAATTTTGCCAACTAAAAATATAACATAATGAACAACCCCCAAAACTTAATTTAGTCTTAAAATCAAATAGAAATTATATTAAAAAAAAATTTAATAATCTTAAAAATATAAAATTTAAATATGATTTAAATTATTTAAAATAAAATATAACAACAAATGAAATAACAAATTCTGATACAACTGCAATGAAAAACATTAAAAAAAAACCATGTAAGGCACAAAAAAATTAAACAATATGTTAAATGGATTAAAATTGACAGGGGCGTGCTGGTTCCGAAAAGCACATGCGGGATTTTTTCAAAAAGGCCCATATATGCGGGATTTTGCCAATTACGCTTGATTTGAAGGCCCACATTTGTATATATATTTAAATATATATGTATATTTATATATTCAAATATATATATATATATATATATATATATATATATATATATATATATATATATATATATATATATATGTATATATATATATATATATATATATATATATATTATATATTTTTGTTTTAGCGTTATTACATATACAAGAACTATCGCATTTTATGTTATATAAACAAAGTTTTCAAAAGAAACCTTTTTCTTCAAAATCAGTTAATTTTTTTACATTGCAAGAGCATTTTTATAAAAACTCACACAAATTATTTATATTTAAAAACGTTACGATTTTTGTTTATGAAATTTAAAACAATTTAACCAATATAAGCAAATTATTTTTTAAACAACAACCAATCCATTAATATATATCTTATACTGCTGAGTTAGGTGAGCATGATGATATCATACTCACCTAACATCAAAAAGCCTGCTGTCGGGGGCTTCAGTACATAAATCGACTGACAAATAGCTTGATATATGTATATATATATATATATATATATATATATATATATATATATATATATATATACATATATGTATATATATATATATATATGTATATATATATATATATGTATATATATATATATATATATGTATATATATATATATATATATATATATATATATATATATATATATATATATATATATATATATATATGTGTGTATATATATATATATATATATATATATATATATATATATATATATATATATATATATATATATATATATATGTTTATATATATATATATATATATGTATATATATATATATATATATATATATATATATATATATATATATATATATATATATATATATATATATATATATATATATATATATATATATATATATATATATATATATATATATATATATATATAACAATATAATGTGAGCACGCAAATACTATTTGATTTTACTTAACTTGACCACGGCTGTTAATATGATTTGAAAGTTTGTATACATTTTAAAAAACGCGCTAAAAAAAATTATCTTAACTATAAAGAGACATTTAAAAAAATTATTGTTAAAGAAACAAATAAATCTTCGTAAAAAAATAATGAAAAACAAAATAAAAATAACTTAACTAGAACTAAAATAGCCAAAATAAAATTAAAACTTAACTAAAGTAAATAATAAACTATAATGATAAGATCTAAACTACGTTTGGAATAAATAACTTTGAATCGTTTATCTATAAAAATTTTCTGTTTATCAAAATTTTTTGATGTTTCTTAATTAATTTGAGTATGCTGAGTCTGAATATGACATTGGATTTTTTATTGCATCAATCGTTTGGTCGTAAAACCAAAAAATCAATTAAACATATAATTAATATAAATCGTTTTGCATTAGATTCTACTTTAGTCAATATAAAACATTTACTAATTCAAAAGTGTTATGTTATGTTACAAAACTTCATGTTACATCATGTTTCTTACATATATTACATAATGTTACATTATATTGTATTGTAACAGTCTCTCACAATCTCAAAAAACACTAAAAGTGAACAGTAGAACGAGGTTTTCTTTTATGAAGTTTCTCGTCATCGCGTATCATACACCAGATGTAGTCACCCATCATAGCTGCATCCCATCTGCCCTGGTATCTTTTCTCCATTGCAAGAATATCCTGATGGAAACGTTCCCCGTGCTCTTCACTCACATCACCCAAATTTGGTCTGAAAAATTCCAAGTGTGAATGCAGGTAATGCAGCTTTATTGACATTCTGCATTTCATATCTGCGTACCGTACAATTAAGTTTTCCACTATCTCTTTGTAGTTATCACTCTTATTGTTGCCTAAAAAGCTATGAACAACATGTCTAAATGCAGTCCATGCTTCTTTTTCAACAGCAGACATTTTGTCCTCAAGCTCCTTACATGCCAACATAACTTTAATCTGTGGACCAACGAATATACCTGCTGAAATTTTTGCATCTGACACCTTTGGAAACATCTGCCGAATATGCTGGAATGCTGCACTATCTGGGTTTAATGCTTTGACAAATTGTTTGATAAGACCAAGTTTAATGTGAAGGGGTGGTAGTAAGATCTTTTCGACAGGTATCAGAGATTGATTAATAACATTGTGCGAACCAGGCTGTAAATGTTCTCTCACTGGCCACTCACGTCTTGTGAAGTGCTGGTTTGCAGCCCTGCTATCTGATAAACAAAGAAAACACGAGTACTTTGTGTATCCTCCTTGCAGACCGAGAAGAAATGCTAGCATCTTAAAGTCTCCACATACATCCCACTTGTAACTGTTGTAGTTGATTTTCTCAAGCAACAACTTCACGTTCTTATAGTCTTCCTTTAGATGAACGGAATGAGCTACTGGAATCGAAGGAAATCGGTTTCCGTTATGGAGCAAAACTGCCTTTAGACTTCTTGTTGAGCTGTCAATGAATAATCTCCACTCTTCAGGATTGTGAACAATGCCAATGTCATTGAAAAGACCACGAACGTCATGACAATAGCACAGTGATTCTGATACTACATAAAAGTATGCGAATGTTTCATGTCTTTTTCGGTATTTCGAGGTTCTGCAGCTTGGATCTAATAAATTCCATTCTTTCAAACGTGATGTCAGAAGTTCTGCATTTGATTTAGTGAGACCTAAATCTCGTACTAAGTCATCAATTTCTTGTTGGTTAGGGAAATGAGGTGAATCATTCGGTTCCCTGAAATCACAGTCATCATTGAGTTCATCCGGTGAGTCTACTTCAGAATGATATGCAGCTGCTTCTTCGGATTGAGGTGGAGTAGGAACAGGCAATTCATCACTGTGTGGAACTGGTCCAATAGAAGATGGTATACTTGGATAAACTAGAGTCAGC